CCGCGAACGACGTGGAAACGACGGGAGCGGCGCAGGCTGCATATGTATGCGTTCCTTTTCCGAGGAGGAGATCGATAGTTCAATGTACAGACAAGTGTGATAGCTCTGTGTGCTCCAGCCTCCGCGGCTCATTCACGTCGCAGTATGAATTCATGTATTTCTTATCTACTCGGAAACTGCATAAAAAGAATACAAACGAGAACCAGAACACATTTCTTATTAACCGAGAGATACTGAAGGCTCTCGTCGAACATGTGATACCATTCTATCGCAAGGAGGTATTGTCAAGTCTCTTTCGGCACGCTTGTCTAATATTTTAAGCATGCAAATATAACGGAGAATGCCAACGTGTCCTCGGATCACAGCGAATAATAAGGATACAGTTCAGAAATACGATCGGGGACATCACTTCGGAAAACGCGAGAGAACAAAGAAAATTGATGGAAAAAAAGAGTGAGGAATCCAGTGGGATTCGAACTTTTTTTCTCTCTTTCGTCGTTCTCCCAAGGGCTGCCAACAGTGAAATCTGCGAATGACAGTTCTCCTTTGAGAAGACATTACGCGCCAGCCGTAGATTCGTGTTTCGTGTTTAGAGTTAGAGAAACTTTAGTAACTCAGTTGCCTTGAATAATTAAAACCCTAGAATGGATGTTAACATTTTCGTTTCGAGTTTAGAGGAAAATATTTTATACACATATCTTATTATTATTCATATACATTATCAAAAATTTCGAGACTAGAACCATAATAAGCGTATATATAACCCGTATATATATTTCTTCCCGCGTTACTCAAAGGTTGAACGAAAAATTGCAGAGACGAGAAAAAAACACGGACCTTAAACGAAGTTCATGTGAAATTTATAAATTGCATTTCGCGCACTTAGCGTACGTAATGCAAGAGACGGACGCGAAGAGAGAAAGGCACTTCATTATTTACGATCGAGCCGGAAAGATGAACGAGGATGGGCGATATTTGTGCCTCGGGCACATTCCAACGAGTAGAAGTCGATAAATATAGAGTCAACATAGCAAACTGTAACGAAACTTTTTTGCCTTTCAAAGGTAGCCGGAATATCCAGCGGCGCTCTTCTAGTCCGCCGCTAACGACGAAAGTAGCAAGAGAGGGGAAAAAAAAGAAAGAAAAGAGGTCAGAGTGGTACGAAAAAGGGAGGCTCTCCCCGGTAAAACCGGGGGAAGATAAGTAAATAGGACACATAGCATAAAAAAATAAAAGAAAATCAGCGGAATGGCCTGCTTTAAACGCGACGTCTCTTTTCCTTTCCAACCATTTTATTCCTTCCATGAGCGTTTCCTTCCTCGCGCCTTTATATACTCCCGCGCACTCGTGAATACTCGAGAAGAGCGACTTTAAATAATCGGAGAAGGAGTGAAGGAGATAGAAGATTGAAACGTCTTTCAGAGGTCTAAGAGATTACTTCAGCGAAGAATATTATGGATAGTCACGATAGTCGCAGTTGTCAATCATTGCTGCCTTGGTTCATTTGGTATCTGCATGTCTGCGACTTTCGTTTTAATCAAAGAATTATGTCAAAGAAAAGAAAACAATTTGATTCTATCCTGGAACTTAAAATAGACACTTGAAGCACTCTTATCAAATGCCACTTTCAACTGTTGGAATGAATAAAGGTCGAAATTTAAATATTCGTCGAGAACCGGAACTGGGATCGTTCAATCCTCTTTTGTGTATACGGGATCCTAGTTTTCCTCGGCGCGCGTTTCAACATATGCGATTTTGAGAATACCTAATCTGGTTCTGAACGAGCGAATTAACGGCCGCCACATGGACGAGATGGAAGGAAATGAAGGGACCAAACGAGAGGGAACGCGCGAATTGTGATGAAACAGATAGAGAACTAACGCTGGTAACAGTCGGTGCCACTTCCTCTTCCGCCCCAATAATCAAATCTCTTGACTCACTGGGCGCGAATTAAAATGGCTACGAGATCTGACGAGATACCGCCACAGATTGCGAGGACCGAGGACGAGGAAATCGTATTCCCTCGGGACGAGAATTCCACCTTTCGCGCGAGAGAAGCTTTACGAGTTAATAAAAAGTATGGCTGTCGTAAAAGTGCGATACACATATCAGCGCATATGTATAATCATCGGGATCTCCGTAGTATGATCCATTAAAAATTAATGTCTCATCACGGCTGCAAATGTTAAATTAGCGCTTTCACACGAGATTGGACTCGTTCGAGGACTCGTCGCTCAGCAGAATCGATACGCGAATTGATAACGATCAACCTCATATAACGCACACGCAAACGAGAAATTACATACATTCGATGATGCCGATGATAAGTGCGATATATTTTGCATCGTATCGCGGTCAGTCGATGCGACGTTTCCTTTCTCGAAATTAGATCATAATCGCAACGCGAGAGATGCATATTGTATTCCTGGTCGGTTTCGATATATATTTAAAAATTAAATTTGCGAGAGCAAAATCGATTGCGATGAATTGCGACATGAATAACGCATACATTTGATTGAAATATCGTTTAATTGGAAGGAATTTTCGAAACGTTCGATAAATCTGCCATATTCGGTAATGGACTTTATTATGCGTCTCTCTAAAGCGTCTGGATTCAATTCCGAGTGAGTTTTTCATTTAATCCGATTTACGGAAAATCGTCTTAGATGCAGATTTGAATGAACCGACACGAATCGCGCGTGAAACTGACATGATCGTATATCGAATTAATCAATCGTTATGCACGATATATATTTGAGACGTAATAATATTTACGCAATGCGTAATTTTTATTAAATTAATGAGGTTACAGCATATTCGTCTATGTCAGTTGGGAAATTACACATTATTATGCACGACCACAGAGCGTAAAGTTGCGCAAATTACAACACACATACACACACACAAACAGACATAGAGCATTCAGACGCGCGTTTATATATACGCGCCGAGACCCTTGACATCTCTCACGAAGTGGATTGTGGCGATGACTCGATGATTAATGAGATTAGGTATGAAATCGACATTCATCGAGGGGGCAGGGAGCATCAGCGATCGTCCCCGCTGCAATCGGCGATGCGAAATCGCAAAGAGTTAGTAGCATGGGCATGTGTGTCTGTCCGTCGATCTAAATCGGAGCACGTATGATTAAATATATATGTGATACATCACAAATATATATCTATATTTATTTGTCTTATGAATATACACCCTTTATATGTCTGCAATACATATGTCTATATATAATTGTACGTACATACATACATACATGTAAACTATATATACATATACATACATATATATATGTATTGATATATGTATATGTATAATGATAAATGTATGTATATAATTCTCACGCCGAGCTTCTGCACGCTTTTAAGATGGCTGTCTCTAAAGGCTATCGAAGTGTCCAATCCAGATGAATGTTGAGCCTTTGCATGCATTTTCTTCACACGAGATATATATATAAATAAATATAAAATTAATTATAATTTGAGTCGAAAATAAAGAAAATATTTCTTATGTCATTTTGTAATGAACGTTAATTGATAAGACTCGTTATCTATATTCATTGTTATTCACGCGTGTACGTATATTTTGCTCTCACACAAACACAAGTTTTTTGAGAGCACGTTTTTCTGCCTTTTACGAAATAAAGTCGAGTATTTTAATTGAGAGTCTGAAGAGTTTTGTAAAAACTACTAAGCGGTTTAATTGAGAAGATACAATGGATGCATCGACTTTCCTCAATTCCTTGTATATTTCGAGATAAAAGCCCTACGGGACTCGCGCTACGTTTTTAAACTACCTGTTTTTAATTAAGTTCTCACATAAAGCAGAGTCATATTTATTCATTCGGCCAACGGCACGAATAAATGACGTGAGAACAGTGCGACTAGATGAATATGAAACACCTGGAAAAAAAGTTTCTTCCAGATAGCCTGCTGTCCATTATCCATAAATGCTAAAAAAATTATGACGACGGTGACGAAACATCGAAACAATTCATAAATAACCTACATATACTATTCGATGCGCAACAATGCAAATTTTTATTTTTATTATCGGAAACTATTAAATATTATTATTATTAAATATATAACAATAAATATAAAACGAAATAATATGAAGTTTCGATGCGTGGGAATTTTTTCTCGTAAATAATAAATCTGTCGAACGCTAGAATAACGCTGATGGAGAACGCGTATATAAAATACGTCTAAATCAGAATTGGGGCGGAACAGTAAAATTTCATTACCTTCGCGTAGGGTGATGCGACCCCGGCTTCGAGAGTCGTAACTATGCGTTTGTGGCCGATCATCCTGGTATTCCGTCGACACGACCTGGAACGATGATTTCCCGTCGACGAACGATACGACAAGCTTGCACGATAGATTGTAATCCTGACACGTTTATCGACGGCACTTTTTACAAGTATACGCGAGTCCATCGTTTTCTCCGCAAACCTCTGGAATTCCGCATCGTGTCTCGAATTCGATAGCTTATACGACACTTTATCTCGTCGTTGTGATTTTTTTTTATTCCCGGTGGGGTCTATTTTTTTTCGATTGACACGGAAAAGAAATATAGTGTTCCGTAACAATATGCGGAAATTATATGAATATCTGACCCGATCCCGTTGCGACGCGTTTTATTCGATTACAAATGGAAATGTGAAGTTATGATGAAGTTATGGTTGTTGACAATTTTTTTTTGTAAAGCGATGCGGAACAAATGTTCCGACGAATATCCAGGAATTCTGTGTTAGCTTTATTGGATTAACCCTCGCAGCCGCGTTCTTGGATACTGGCCAGCTGGCAAACTTCGATCCTAACGTTTTTATTCGATTTATATCTCGTGGTAATCGTATTATATGTACACCGCAAAATTGAAAATTTACGTTTTCGGCGATTAAAAAAAAATAATTTCTCGCGTGCGAATTCTAGGCATTCCAGTCTTGTGAATAATAGCCTAATTGTATTCTTCTCCCGCGTCCATAGTGATCGGCGCCCAGGGATTAATCGCCAAAGATAAAAGCGGCACATCCGATCCCTACGTGACGGTCCAAGTTGGCAAAGTGAAGAAACGTACGAGGACCATGCCGCGAGAGTTAAATCCAGTGTGGCACGAGAAGTTCTACTTGTAAGTAATTTCAACAAGTTTCTCTGCCACGCCAGCGGAATGCGTAATTTTCTTCAATCTTCCTGGTAAAGTCTTTTGCAAATTTTCGCGCGACATCAACTGTCACATTTTCTTACCTTGTTGAAAACACAGGGACTTGATACGACATTTTCATTACTGGTTATTTAAATATTTGAATTTCTTTGATTTTTAAAAGAAGCTGGAATCATAATGAAAATTGCTACTTACAGCGAGTGCCACAATTCGTCCGATCGAATCAAGGTTCGAGTGTGGGATGAGGATAACGACCTCAAGTCGAAGCTGAGGCAAAAGCTCACGAGGGAGAGCGATGACTTTCTCGGGCAGACCATCATCGAGGTCCGGACGCTCAGCGGCGAGATGGACGTCTGGTACAATCTGGAGAAGAGGACGGACAAGAGCGCGGTGTCGGGCGCGATTCGGCTACACATTAGCGTCGAAATTAAGGGCGAGGAGAAGGTGGCGCCTTATCACGTGCAATACACCTGTCTGCACGAGAACCTCTTCCACAGCCTGTGCGAGGAGAACGGCGGCATGGTAACTCTGCCACAGGCGAAGGGCGACGACGCCTGGAAGGTCTACTTCGATCCTCCCGGCGAGGAGCTCGTTGACGAGTTCGCCATGCGCTACGGCATCGAGAGCATCTACCAGGCGATGACGTGAGTGCTGTTAAAAAATCATATACGTCGAAGATTATTATCTCGGAATGACTTTTCGAACCGCAAATTTAAATTCTCGAGCAAACCATTTTTATTCTTGTTATTAAAGTTGAGATTGAACTTAGAAGCGAAATAACGGGAATAATAATTGGAATTAAAATTATGCATTATATATACTTACTTGAGATTGAAACAGGTAATGATGTTTAATTATTGCTTCGAAAGGAAAATACTAAATGTTGAATATTTCTAATTTATCGCTACCGCAGTAATAGAAAATGAACGAAATGACATTACAGCGACATTAAATTTTCTTGTATAACAATTTTTCCGACAGGCATCTTTTTTAACCTTGCCTTGAGAAGAGGTAACGTTTTATAATGTTATATATCTTACTTGAAATTAAAATGCAGGCAATAACTCTGCTTCTTAGGTGATTATCGTAGCTTCGATCGTTCGATATGCGATTCTGGTTCCGTCACCGTGAACCGATCTCGTATTTTCCAGGCACTTCCACTGCCTCTCAACCAAGTACCTGTGTCCAGGCGTGCCGGCCGTTATGTCGACTCTTCTGGCAAACATAAACGCGTACTACGCCCACACGACCGCTAGCCCGGCCGTGTCGGCCAGTGATAGATTCGCCGCCAGTAACTTCGGGGTGAGTGCCGGATATGTTGAAGGTTACGTGGTAGAAGTCGAGGTATAGGGACGTGAAGGATGGTGGACGCTCGGATTCTGCAACTAGCGAGAAATACTTCTGCAATTTCCTGCCAACCAGCGCTATCCGTTATCCCGAGTTGGCGCCGTCGACTTGCGCAAAGACGCAAGAGAGAATCTCTTTCTAGCTCTATCAATTACATTCTCGCCGGGTCGCGAATAAGAGACGAGCTGACGCGAATATTCAAATAATTACTTCGCGAACTTTCGAATGGGATTAAGTGATATACATACCTATCCGGGCAGCGTCGAGTATCTTGAGAAGAAAATTTGAATCTCTTGGTAAAATTGAGCATTTAGCGGGGATTAGAAGAGATTTCTCTCTCTTGAAAGATTAATAATAAAATTAATAACTTGACTCTTTTCGTTATAAAATTGCAAGAACAATCAAATCCAACTCAACAATAAAGCTTAAATATTTGCGTAGGATTTAAGACATCTTTACGAATCCGTGCCGCGGATTAAAGATTTAAGATTGTGCCGTGTTTATGATTGCATTTTTCTGTTGCCCTCTTTCTTAGTCTACAATCTTTTTTTCTTAGAAAAAATTACGAAAAGTATATATATATATACATGTTAATTAAGATTTTAATTAAGATTTTCTCTTCTACCGCGCATTCTGTTTTTGCAATGTAGATTTTAGCCGAGTCGCGCAGTCAAGACTAGCCAAAACTGGATTTTTCACCGTGTAGAGAATATGGAAATGTTTTTCTCGAACTGGCCCTGCCTATAAATCGACGTTCTTTCGGTACTTGTAAAACAGCGAACAATATGTGAACCAAAATTTAGCACGAAATTTAAATTCGCGAATCTTTTAATTCCACAGATGTTTTTTACATTCCTGAATTATACATGATATTCTCCCTTTCGAAAATATTACGGTGGAATTTTTCGCGTTCCGAAGAAATTCAGCGCGGTTGAAAATTTTCGGATATCATGGTAGTTGAAACTCGACGAGAGAGTCTCTTCACAAAACGCGCAGCTACTCTCCATTGGTAAAAAGCTGTCGGGATAAAATAGGAAGAGAGCATTCGATGTAAACCCGTGTGTGTGTGTGTATGCCCGACAAAAAAAGAAAAGCTTACTGCAACTACAAATGACATTAATAAAAGAAGCGCTCAGTCGGATTTTCTTCTCGTTATAGAAAGAGAAATTCGTCAAGCTACTGGATCAGCTGCACAACTCTCTCAGGATCGACCTATCAATGTATAGGAACAACTTCCCGGCCTCAAGCCAAGAGAAATTAATGGATTTAAAGAGCACCGTGGATCTGCTGACGAGTATCACGTTCTTCCGTATGAAAGTCCAGGAACTGTCGAGTCCGCCGCGGGCCAGCACCGTTGTCAAGGACTGTGTCAAGGCATGCCTGCGATCGACCTATCAGTTCCTCTTCGAGAACTGTTACGACCTGTACAATCGAGAGTTCCAAGCAGACCCGAACGAGGCGAAGAGGGACTCGGACGATCACGGGCCGCGGCTGGACTCGCTCGACTTCTGGCACAAGTTGATCGCCTTGATAGTCTCGGTGATCGAGGAGGACAAAAACAGCTATGCGCCCGTGTTGAATCAATTCCCTCAGGAGCTCAACATCGGTCAACTGTCGGCGGCCACGATGTGGTCTCTGTTTGCGGTGGACATGAAGTACGCTCTGGAGGAGCACGAGCAGCATAGACTGTGCAAGTCCTCGGCCTATATGAATCTACACTTCAAGGTCAAGTGGCTACATGCCAATTACGTCAAGGACGTGCCGCCATATAAGGGCGCCGTGCCGGAATATCCGGCTTGGTTTGAGCCCTTCGTCATGCAGTGGCTTAACGAGAATGACGATGTCTCGTTAGAATATCTCCACGGTGCCTTTAGTAGAGATAAAAAGGAAGGCGTAAGTAATATATCTCATATACGGATTCTTATTCGTACGAATCTCTCGCGACGCGGTCTTTAATTGGTCCCCCAATTGTTTTCCTTACAGTTCCAAAAGAGCAGCGAGCACGTGCTCTTCAGCGTCTCCGTCGTCGACGTCTTCACGCAACTGACGCAGTGCTTCGACGTGGTATCGAAACTCGAGTGTCCGGATCCGGAGATCTGGAAGAGGTACATGAAGAGATTCGCGAAGACCATCGTCAAGGTTCTGGTGGCCTACGCGGATATAGTGAAGAAAGAATTCCCCAGTCATCTAAAGGAGGAACGAATCGTACGTTCTCGAGAGTGATATAATCTGCAACAAAAATTTAGCGCACCGACTGGATTGAACTAAAAATAAATCGACTTTATTCCGCACAGGCGTGCATTCTGATGAACAACATCCAGCAACTTCGGGTGCAGTTGGAGAAGATGTTCGAATCGATGGGAGGCGACAAGCTCGAGGAAGACGCGGCGAACATATTGAAGGAATTGCAACAGCAGCTGAACGGCGCTCTGGACGATCTGGCCATGCTCTTCGCGAACAGTCTGGAGCCGCGAATAACGGTTTCTGTCAGAGAGTTGGGAGATCTTCTGTGTGCTATCAAAGGCGGAGGGCAGGTAACTTTATCACAGCCGGCCCAGAGAAACAACGTAACTGCGGAGGCTGACGACGTTTTGAGGCCGCTCATGGTTCTACTCGACGGTAGTCTATCTTTGTACGCCGAGTCGTGCGAGAAGACGGTACTGAAGAGACTGTTGAAAGAACTGTGGAAGATAGTCATGAGGATTTTAGAGAAGACCGTAGTTTTGCCACCTATGACGGATAAGAGCGTATGTTACTTGCGTTATGATTTTATTTTACACTTTTCTATTGTAATTCTATTGTAATTCTATTGTAGTTAAACCGATAGAATATTCATTATATATTGCGACGTGTGTGTTACGGTTTAATCATTCTTGTCTCTTGTAGATGATGTTCAAGAACTTGACAGATAATGCCAAAAATCTCGCCGCGAATGCCAAGATAGAAGACATGTCGAAGCTGTTTAAGAATCACATGGCCGGGAAGCCCGATGTGAAAAATGCCCTTAGCGGAGTTATGGTAATACAAATTAATCATTCAAATTAAATTTCTGAGAAAAAATTACTTTGCGATTATTGTCAACTACTAATCTCGTTTCTTCAGGATATCTCCAAGGAAGTGGAGAAGAATCTTTCGCCGAAGCAGTGCGCGGTTCTCGACGTCGCTCTGGACACGATTAAACAGTACTTCCACGCCGGTGGTAACGGCTTGAAGAAGACATTCCTGGAGAAATCGCCGGAACTGCAGAGCCTCCGTTACGCACTGAGTTTGTACACGCAAACAACGGACACCCTCATCAAGACCTTCGTCACTTCGCAAATCGGTCAAGGTACATTACTGAATTTATCGTTTGCGTTACAAATTTATATATAAGTTGTAATAATTATTTATTCATTTCTAATAATACAATTATTATTTTTATATGTGTCTCTTGTTACATTGCGAACGCAATCGCGATGAGAGAGAATCAGGAATACACTCACGAGATAGTTAGACACCACAAACGATATATTCTAATGACACATTACATTACACGATCCGCGGCGCGATCCGTCTCACTCGTAAAGAATCGATATATATCGGCGTATGCGTTTCCTCTACACTTACATTACGACGATAATGAAAATTGTCGGGACAGTGCCGCTGAACGACGCGTCAACGCTACGTCAGCGTCAGCGTTCGATGAGCAGCGAGAGGGGTGACGAAGGGGAAGGAGCCGAGGGTATGGACCTCGAGGAACCCCTTCGCCAGAGCAAGCCCTCTCTTCGTCGAGAGAGCCGACAAGGTACCAACAGAGCAGACCTTAGTAGGTCTTGCGGGAAGTGTCGGAAAAACTTTTAGGACGTAGTGAACTGATCGTCGCGTCGAGACGTCTCAAGATATATCATCTATATCTTGATGTATCCATATTTTTATTTACCTATTTTCACACATCCATTTCATCGCGAATGGAAATGATTTTCCGATAATATATTTCGCAATGCTTGAGTTGACAATTTTGCATTTATTATATATATTAATTTTTTTTTATTCGTTCACTATAAAAGAAGGATATTTTAAAGACGTCTCGATGTTTCGATAGCTGTGTTAGGAAGCTGTGCTGTTATCACTGCCGCTGCTGCTACTGCCGCCACTTTTGCTGCTACTACTACTACTACTGAGAACTTTAATGATTCACACACAAAATGTCTCTCTTTCGAGCTCATATTTGTTTCAACACGACGCTTTAAACACGTATATATATATATATACACACACACACACACATATGTTACACAAGGAAAGTCTACCATTTGACCACTGACCACTGATCACATGATCTTCTTACGAACGTCATTGCCTAGCGCTATACATATACAAGTTTATTTTTACAATGAAGATTCGAAGGAACGAATACTCCCGAAGAAAGGATCGATCGCTTATATCATGGACACTTGTATCATCCGGAATCGAAATTTTATCTCTATTTTCAATTTTAATTCTCTCACGTGTTTATTGGATTATTTCGATAGATTTAGTTTATATAGAAATTGAGCTCCTATTTGTATCTTTAATAAGCAGTAAACAAATAGTTTTCCACTTAAATATTTTACAAGAAAAACTTGTGACAAAACTATAGATTAAATAATTTTAAAAAGATATAACCAGGCTGCTTAAAAATATCAAAATAATTATAAATTGAAAATTGAGATCGAAAGTAGGAGAAAAATTTCGACTCAGGATACGCACTAAATCTTTTGAGCTGAAATTCTCCGAACGCTAAAAATAATTTTCGACGGAGAACCGAAAGATATAAAACCATTTAAAAGCTCATCACACACCGTGTGATTAATGCACAAAACTATGCGCTGGCTGACTTCGTCTTCTCTGAAAATTACTGACGAGATAATTGCTCTGACGAGAATCAACAAGTACCTGAGCTGCTTATTATCAGAGCATGTAATCTGCTCTAGAGATAGTTAAATCGAGATTAGACTCTTAGCCTTAGTCTCATCGAATCGTAGCATCAGATAGAATCAGACGAAGTCCGCGTAGTATCTAGATGCATATTTTAGCTTCACGGCATCTCCTACTCGAGCTTAAATTCTAACTTCAATTTTTTTAAGTTCCAGATATCGCCGCTTCGGAAGAGGGTTCGGTGGGCGAAGTTAGCATCCAGGTGGATCTTTTCACACATCCGGGAACGGGAGAACAGAAAGTCACCGTCAAAGGTACGTTTACGATTTTGCTAAAATCGTATATAAATATTTGACAATTAATAATGCAAAAATTGATCATTTATTTTTTAAATCGCGTCGATAATAATTGAATTAAATAAGCAAAACTTTCGCGCTTCTAGTTGTTGCCGCGAACGATTTGAAGTGGGTGTTGGCGACAGGCATGTTCAGACCATACGTCGAGGTGAATCTGATCGGGCCGCATCTCACTGGCAAAAAGAGGAAACAATCGACGAAATCGAAGAGCAATAACTGGTCGCCGCAATTCAACGAGAGCTTCGACTTGTAAGTCACGCTAATAATAATTCAACTCCTGGACAACGATTACAATTTTGTCGTCGACGCAAAATTCTCTCCAATTATTTATCTCCCCTTTTTTTGTTCCTCAGCATGATCGGTAACGAGCAACAACAGCTAGACTTTTACGAGCTACACATTTGCGTGAAAGATTACTGCTTCGCGCGAGAGGACAGACTCGTCGGCGTCGCGGTGATGCAGCTGAAGGACATCGTCGAGGAGGGTTCGTGCGCGTGCTGGCTGTCGCTCGGCAAGCGCATCCAGATGGACGAGACCGGCTGGACGATCCTGCGAATTCTCTCGCAGCGCAACAACGACGAGATCGCGAAAGAGTTCGTGAAGCTCAAGAGCGACATCAGGCAGGAGACACCGCTGCCGAATCCTACCTGAGGAGACACGACGCCGCGTTAAATAAGCCGACCGCGAAGCGATTCGAGTACTTCGAGCTTGGAAAGAGCCCGAAGAGGAGGAGGATGGGATGAGAAACAGGAGGCCGTCCAAAGGGAGTTAGCATTATTCGATGCCTATGGTGCCACGGAGCGAACGAAATCTTTCACGACTAATTTCGCGAGAGAAAGAGCGAGTGTGTTAGAATGAGAGAAAGAGAGAGAAAGGTAATTCGCCCGAGGAAAACGAACCCTTCCGCCCTTCTCCGCTGCGAGACACTACGCCAGGGAGGAACCAGGATCCTAGGCAGCAGGATTTCTTTTATCGTGGAATTTCCTTCCTCCGGCTCCCTCGCGCCGCAGAGCTCGGTCGAGTTTGGTATATCCCTCTCCCTTTTTTACGTCTTACAAAACACGTACACACATATATACATACATACACACGCACATATATATATAAAATATACAGAGCTTTAACCCCGTCCCTGGACAGCGACGATGAGCACCGGGAAACCACCTGATCCATATGATCCCGAGCTAGGACGACGAGCTAGGTCAACAATCCCGCGTGGCTCGGCGTTCGTCCGGCAATACAATAAGGAAAAAAAGAGGGAGAATTTCTCCTACCCAGATTTACGGAAAGAACGGAAGCTCGGACAGCGACGACGCTTTAATACTATATAAGACACGTCGGACTCTTCTTCGTGCGAGTGAGACACAGGGGAGAGAGAGAGAGAGAGAGGGGAGGAGGGAGGAAGAGATGAAGGAAGAGGAGTGTTCGCGAGCCGAGGAAACGCGAAAATAGTGCTGCCAGTACGCAATATATTTGGTAATATTCGTAACGTAAAATAGGACGAGAGAAAGAGAGAGAGAGAGAGAGATGAGAGCGCCGCGAAAAGGACTGAGAAAACGGTGTGTCGCGCAAAAATTCCGCGACAAGGACTCTCTCTCTCTCTCTCTCTCTCTCTCTCTCGATCGGACGCGCCGCCGTTCGCCGAAAGACTGACCTCTGAGATCAGGGAGAAGACGAAGAAGAGACGAGAGGAGACCCGGTCCAGCGCGTGCGGCATCAGGATCCTCGACCGTCACGTGCTAAAAAACAAGAGGAGGACGAAGTCGAACGCGCCGCGCAAGGATGTGCAGAAGAAGGATCATATGTAGAGAGGAGGATCGCAAAAAAAAAAAAAAAAAAAAAGAAGAAATACGAAAATTCATAATTAACACACACGTACACACATACACGCGCACGCGATACGACCGCGTCGTTTCTAGGCCGTTTGTTCGAGGAGGACGAGTTTACTGTAGATAACGTGAAAACATTGTTGACGAAAAAAAAAAAAGGTTTTTCTAAATATACAGTTTAAATGTAGCATTGCGTACGACCAAATAGGCACGTCCTGTGACGTCACTCAGCGACGTGCCGTTAGTAATAAAAACAAAAAAAAGTTAGTAAGGCATTGTAATTGTAAAGTAACGTTCTTATTCGCATAAGATTATACCAGAGATGGATCGTCTGACTGCTGCTGATGTTATTGCCGCTGTTGCGAATGATGATGTCCGAGATCCGTCCGAGGACTTCGGGATGAGTTGCGCAAAAGCGTGGAAACGATTCCGGAACGCGAGAAAATCTAACATAATTAAGACACGCACGCGACGATCGATATCATCGCTCGCGTTTCCGGGTAATCGTTTTCGGGTGTTTTGATGTAACAGAAAGAGGAGAAGAATTTTGAGGACGAATTCACCTTCTACGAACCGGCGAGCGTGCGAGGTCTAAAAATGAAACTTTACATCCTTGTAATTAGTACTGTCGATACTCGGGGATATTTCAGGTGCGATTATCCGAGCGACCGATATTATTTCTCCGGTATATTGTTCACTCGGGTCTAACTTTGAAATCTAACATCTCTGACTCGTGAATCTTGAATCAATGCTACTCGTAGTGCGCGCAAAGTAATCATATCGTAGCTCTTGATTCCGTCTGTAGCGATCGCTGCTTCTTTACGCACGTCTCTCTCTCTCGAAATATGACGTATCGAGGAACTGGACGTTAAAATCCGCTACTATTCCTATTATCGCTATTAGCTTCATCATCTTCTGTACGTCTCGTCTCGTACTATACTTGTACATATAGCGGACGTTCGCCTGTTCGTATAAGAATACGCGTTACGCACGATTCTCTGTCGTCTCCGCCGATCTCTCTTATACCTCTAGAGAAATTCGTATCAGATCGACGGGGTTCGAAGGGACGTCTCCTCTCGAAGAAACGATCGCAGCACATCCTCGCGATATTCGCTCGATCGTACGAAGCTTCGGTCGGATCCCTCCGTGAGAGAAACACAAATGCACGCGATCTCGTATCCGATGAATCCAATCATCGCCCAGCCCGTGCAGGTGCCCGGGCAGGTACAACACAACTCCGGAGAGATTACGCTATATTCAAAAGTTTCTACTACGTAGTACGTCTAGATTATACTTACGTATTGTGTATAGTGTCTAAACTGCTGATGTAGCTGCGAGCGCGGGATTTTCGATCGGCAAAGAGAGAAAGAATCGAGTACAACACTTAATAAACAAAATAATAATAATATATGAACGTCCGATCAACACACACACATATACACACCTCAGCTGCAGATGCTTTCCGAATTTGAGTGTGTGTTCGTCGAAACATCGCACCATGAATTGAAGGATCTTATCAGCAACAGTGATGTAACCTACCTCTTTGAGAACACTTTCGTGAAAGAATTAATCTTAAAGTTAAGAGAAATAAATTAATATTAATTAATTATAGATTAATCATTTATATATTCATTAAGTTTAAATATTTAACAAAAAAAAGAGTGTGACAGATATTCTATCGGAACGTTGATATATATTTCAAAATATCCTTCGCCAATCATATACAAGACATCTAGAATCATATTAGAATCTTGCTAGAACGTTTCAACTTCAATTTCATGATCGATTTGAAGAAAGCACCTGCATCTGCATCTGTCACCGACGTTGTCGGAAATTCAAGCAGGAAAGAAAAAAACACGGGTCCGCGACCTCGCCACCATCTTCATTTGTAAAAGTGTCTATTTTCTCCGCTGCCTAACTAAGTACATTATTGAATACGAATGGGCTGGCGAATTCGGCATTCAGATCGATCTCGTCGACGAACCCGTCTCCGAACGATATCTCATTTGGATCGGATCGACCGAAAAAAAAATCTCGATCCTGGATCCATCGACGCGATCGTCGACGAGATTGGTCGCCAATTTTTCCTCCTACTCTTCGCTTCGATTAATATCTCTTGTAAGCTTAAATGAAAATATCTCGTGTATTCTGTGATAATTACCCCTTAAAAAGGACACTAAAACACGCTACACCGTACACGCACAAAAAAAAAGACAAACACACACGTACGAAGGGGATGAAGTCCGCGTATGCGGAACAAGGAAATTGTACAGAAACTCTGGACACAGACATATAAACAAAGATAGATACAACTTACGTCATTACACCGATCCCAAACATAGCAGCAGTATTCTTCTTCTTTAAACACATTCCCATGTTTCTATTCTCTGTAATCATTAAACGTTCGAGGAATGTCATCGGGATGGTAACGAAAGACAAAAAAAGAGATATATATGTATATACTTATACGTACGTATATAGAGTGTGTTGATCCAGGCTCGCCTTTACTTCCTTGCATCTACCGATCCTGTGACCAATTCGCAGTTAATTTTTCCTTAGCGAAAGTTTGATCCTTTTCCACGACTTTCTAATGTCAAATACATCTTAAGCCTCTTAAATAAAAATTCTGTGAAAGTAAAATTCACTTTGATCTGAATAAAATTTAATAAGGCTCCGCCGTTCGTTGAAGTTCTTAGACTTTTTATCGTCTTACAGTTCAAAAAGTTATCGCTACCTTGATGCTTTTTGTTGAGAAAATACACACGAAATTGATCGGAGAGTTCGTAGATATGGGGCGTGGAACCTGAAACAAACCGTGTATCGTGTTAATAAATCGCAACAATTTTACCAAGGATATATAAAAAGATAAGAGACGCAAAAGTAGCATGCAGAGCATAACAATAATGATTTTTTTGACCGCGAAAATTAATTCAGACACTTCAAGATTTTGCGAGTAAAATATTTTATAATTAAAGTGGCATACGTGATATTTATTAATTTATATTAATTTTCATATAAATCGGATATTTAATATACATTTTTGTTCCAATAAAATTTTTTACATAAATTCTCTTTTTGTTCTTTTCTAAAATATATTTTTCGTCATTCTCGATTTTTCAAATTACAATGCGAGACGCTGTTCACTTTGAATTTTATAAATTGATATTCAACAAGATTTACATCCTGTCTCGAAGGTCAAAGACAAGTCGAGTCATTGACGGGTGTGGCGAAATGAGGATAAATTGATTCATCGTCACTTTCCGGATTCGTTCGTGCATAACAAAGAAGCATTTAAAGGAACTTCAATGGAGAGCGACAGGTCAAATACTTCGATTACTCTCTTATTTATGTTGAAGAGACGGGCTCTTAATTGCCGCAAACTTTTGCGTCCGGTCGACTCGAGATGAATTAAGACCAGAAGAACTTCAGTCCAGATTTTGTAACCGCTAGAAATGAAACGCGTTAACAAGGGGGGATAAATGAGAGATCGTGTAACAAACAAACAAAAAAATTGTGGAGAAAAAAAGATATACACACAACTGTTGACAATACTATGCTTGAAAAATCGTATGACACATATGTGTAATGTACCTAATAAATATTTAAAGCAAGACGGGAGATGTTTGTGTTTCGTAAGTACAAGCGTTTACTAAGAGTAAAGTCGCGTGATTAGAGCACGAAAAGACGATGCACTCGCGCGATGCATAACTTTTGTGCGGATTACCGCGTGCGATTTATTAGGTAATTACGTCTAACGAGTAAAGAGAGAAGCAACTTTGTCGTCCCACGGAGAGCGCTTTTGTCGAGACAATTTTTTTTCGAGGAAAGAAAGACGAAAATGAAAGAAAAGAAGAGGGAAAGGAAGAGAGATTTCAAGGATACATCTCCGCTATGCAGGTCACGGGTGTTTAATTAAAAGGTGATCCAAGCAATTATGTATCCGAGTATGTGAAACACGCACATTCGACACAAAGAATACCTATTTACCGTATATCGAATCTCTCTTCGGTAATGCACATTATTTCGTTTGTTCGCTCATCTACGAATTATTTCCCAGCAAACTGGATGCATACATATGTATATAATGACACAAACGGTACATACAAAATACACACACACACATACAATATACACACATATGAGCGAGATTGCACTTGTGTGACTCCACATTCACACAGATCGAAACTCCGAATGCACGCGTCGTCGTTACATTTCTCATTCTGAAAGCGAATCATCATCATCATTATCATAATCATTCTCACAGCAGATGACGATAAATACCGATATTGTTCCGCTAATCGATTCGCTCGATTCAATTCGTCGTATTGAACGATTGTGCGATTCGGACAAGCGCGTTGCCTCTCGAAATCCTGACAATCCTAGTGACATCAATGCATAACAAGATGCAATCACGGAGGATATCGACTTGCATCAATCGCACCGTTCAATTAGAGCTAGAGATCCATATATACACACCCGACTCGCCTCATTTGATGAATATATCGCGTGTCATTCACTAGCACTGCGTGCTGCTTATATAGTTGGCGAATGAAAGACTTGAAGGCGTGAATCTCTTTCTCTTGGGTTATCCATTTTTCTTTCATATCTACATGTGTTAGAGAGAAAGAGAGCTCTACCGATTCTATTACGATCGATCCGTTAACTGTTCCATAATGTAATAACGAACGTGAGATCTCAATATCGTATGACCGATATTGAGATCTGACTTGTCGCATTTAGCGTAAATGCGATTGTTTAACTTCCGCATGATGTTGACGTTCAAAGACATCTATATAGATTTTCAGCGCTAATTATGCGATGAAAACGCGATCCTAATTATTTGTTGTTTATATTTATTCGATGGTTTGTAAATATATAGAGAATAATTGAATGAAGTGTGAATGAAATGTGAGAGCGAGAGAGTTATTAAACAGAGAAGATTAAATCCAAGAGAATGATTAATTAGTTAATTATAGGGGGAAATATTGTAACGGAATGGAATGAGAGAGAGAGAGAGATGAGAAGAGGACTTATTAGAGCTATATCATCGTTGAATCATCGCACCATGTGCCATATCATCGCATTATCAGAGAGGAAGACGGAGAAACAAAGTTTAAATATTATTAACTTTAAGTCTCACGCGCGCGTGTAATAGAATATACGGCCATATACATATGCATATACATATACAGAGACGGAATCATGCGAGTGGAAATCCGGAATATGTACAGCATTCGTTTGACTAACTGTGATTCGTTGCTGATCTTTATTCGAGAGTGATATAACATCCGATATACATATATATATATATATATATATATATATATATATATAATATGTATATGAGATGTTATATATATTCTATAATTGCAGATGAAGAGGCGAGAGGTGAATGAATAGAGACATACAATATAACTTCACCAGGAAAAAAAACTGGATCTATCATGGAAAAAAAAAGATTGAATATATTGAATAAATATTACAAAATATTCATTATTGTGTATAATCGTATAAAAATGTTTAATTTCAAATCGGACCCTAAAACCGATTAAAATTTCAAAACTGTATAAGTGTAACACAGTATATGTACCTTTCTTAATTCATTTGCTTCTTCGAATATGTACCTTCCTTATTCATTTGCCTCTTACGTGTATATGCAATTTCGCGATGCGAAGACAATTTTTACCGCACCGGATATGCTCGATCGACACCATCCATTTGCGATATCGCATATTGTTCCGACTTCCGATCGGGGATCTGTCGAGATTCCCGATTTCCGGCGGAAGACAAGGGGGGAAAATCGTTAACGCGAACCTGTTTCATTCAATCATCATTCTCATCGTCATGATAAGCGAATCATATTCGTGTTGTCACCGAAGACACCGTCAGGAAGCGTCCGTTCGTCCTTACCCATAATCGCGAATGTCCTTTGTAATCTAATTTTCTCGCATTGACAGTACACACGCACGTGTAAGATATTATCGCATCTCGATCGTATAATCACAGAATATATTGCACATACGACTGCACATATTATATACATATTTACAAGTGTGTATATACATTATATATACATATACATATAATATATACATAGTCATATGTCCGTTGCTGTCTCATCCGCTCGATGGATTAAAATAATTTTCACGATATTTCATACATTTTGCTACAATTTTTCCATTTACTTCACTCCATCTCTACATTTTATCTCATCTCTGAAATTCTTTTCCGCGCTCATGTTTTTGTCATCCGAATAAAATGTTAACTCTCATACATTATGTAAATTACATTATTATATACAAGATGTCTCTCATTAAGCGTGCTTCCTTTGATTAAATTTTAATTGTTTTTTTCTTTTTTCAAAAAATATCAAAGTTATAACTTTTGAATTAAATAATCAAATAAGAGTTTTATAAAAACTAAGACTAAATTTTTATTCTTTACATTTTACTTCAATAGAATTTTAAATATTTGCAAAATGTATAACATCAATGTATTTATTATTTCAGAGAGAGATAGAATTTGCGGAGGAATGCAAGAAATTCAAACCACCTAAACCTAAGCAAATCTTTATTAATTAATGTAATTGCTGTACTGTGAATATATTTTTACAGTATACGTATATACATATATGATGTATATGTTTCTAACGAAAGAAACTATAATTTTGTTTTCAACAAAAGAAAATTTTAAAGTTATATGACAAATTGCAACATATTTATACTATAAGAAAAATTGAAAATTATTTACAGATCTTTTGGGCAAAAAGATTGTGCTGAAAAAGTGCGTTTAAAGAGAGATTATTCTGTATAAATATACACTGCATATTTATGTAAATATCCATAAATTGTCCATATCAGATTTAACTGATCCTATAAGCGTAGAAAATCTGAGAAGGAAATTCTTTATGGCGAAATTCCGAGAGACAGCTACGGAACGGTGATTTTGTGCCCATTACCTACTCCTAAAATTACATCCTAAAAATTCCAATGTTTCCGCAAGTGTCCGCCTCGATTTGTTGCCACATGTATTATTATTTTTCAATACACGGCTGCTCCGTGTTTTTCTCCGACTATCATTCTGCTCTTTCATCTCGCGCAGGCAGACAAAGGTAGGAGCACGTAGACAAAAGATAAAATGGACAAAGATGAATAGTTGGATACCTCTTTTGGGGCATTTTCACGGAAAAGAAAAGCGACTGAAACGAATGGACTAAATCTCTTTTATCATATAAGCGTAAATATCTTTTATTGTTTACGCTTTCTATTTCCTTAGTGTACTTTCAATGTTGCAGTGCTAAATATATAAAAATACAATAGAGCAATAGAAAGTGTGGGTAATAAAAGCATTTGCATTTGCACAATACGATTTTTTCAGAAATATAATAATTGTATATATAAAAAAGAAGATTACTGCTACAAAGTGTTTACGAAATACGTTGTTTCTCCATTTGTATTATTCCTATATCGAAAAAGACGGAGGCGCTGATTTTAAAACTAATCTAATTTGTACATTACGTTGTATATATTTCCGTTATAAATGTTAAAAAAAAATCGTGTCTCCTATGTGGGGGGTAGAGTTGCTCGTATCGCAGAAGGAATCATAGCGGCTGCCTTTTGCTCGAGTTTTAATCTTCAAAAAATATCCAATTAATTTTCCAGTAGAGTTGATTTT